CACTCTGTCATAGCCTTTTCCAAGTCCATGAACGCACAAAAAACCTTTTGATTTTTGGCCAGAAACTTCTCCGCGATCATGCGCATGGAAAAGACTTGATCTGTACATCCCATTCCCTTTCTAAATCCCGCTTGCACATCCCAAATTTTTCCATCAGTTTCTTTACATTTTGCGTACAGTTTTCCCACAATGCTAAGAAGGCTGATGCCACGGTACTTTTTACAGTCCTGCTGCGACCCTTTTCATTTATATACTGGGACTATCACGGCTTTGCACCAGTCTACCGGTACCCGCTTCAGTTCCCAGCATAAATTAAACAAGGTGTGCAGCAGGCCTGCCGCCACCTCCTCTCCAGCCCTTAGCATTTCGAGTGAAACTCTATCATATCCAGGCGCCTTACCCGCTTTCATGCTTTTCATTGCTTTCATTATTTCATCTATACTTATCTCGCTACCTCTTTCCTCTTCTTTCGGAGTTTCTACTTCACTTAGTACACATGTTGTCTCCTCACTCATAAACATGCTTTCAAAATATTCCTTCCATCTCTTTAAACTCAAAACTTCATCATTCAGAATATAATGATTTCTTAAATTTACGCGAACACTACACATTGAATAAAACTATTATTTACGGATTTTATCGCGTTTAATTACTTTAATTTATTTTTATTATTATCCCGTCGTTTCGGGTGCTTTACAGCATCCACGGTCACGGGGGGGGACTGAGATGTTTGACGTCCCAATGTCATAGTTAGTCCGGCTACCTTCAGTTTTTTTTTAATATTAATTTTTGGTCCGATTTACGCAAAACGAGCTTATAGTATCATGAAGTCTTGCAGTGGTATGCTTGGGTTTTGGTTTAATTTTGTTAATTATAGGATCCCAAGCAGATGGTAGCACCCAACCATCTTCTCTATTGAAATTTGGATGTTTTTTAATTTCAATAGCCTCGCGTATCATCCTTGGTAGGAATCGGTGTTCTTTTGCGAGAATTTGTGGTTTATCAAATCTAATATAATGGTGGGGACGATCTTGAACATGTTCGCAGACTGCAGACTTCCCGGAGCGTCGGTGCTTCACATCAGCTATATGTTCCTTCATGCGGGTTTCTATAAAAGTTTCTATAAAAGGGCTTCTATCAGGCGCTGAGAGCATCTACCAAGGCGCTGTGTGTGCCTACTCCAGACGCTGCGTGTGCCTACTCCAGGCGCTGCGTGTGCCTACTCCAAGCGCTGCGTGTGCCTTCTCCAGACGCTGCGTGTGCCTAGATCAGGCGCTGCGCACCTACCACAGGCACAGCCTGTGCATACTCCGTGAGCGGTGAGCACCACTGCCAAGCGCGGTGTGCCACTTTGGTCTTCGGGCTCCGTTTCAGTACTCATTTATCTTTATTATTATTTTTTTTAAATAATTGTAATTCACGTCACCCATCATCATCTTCATACTTTTTTTATATAAAACTGTAAATATCTTTTAAAATTTTTAATAAATTATTCCTTTTTGTTCTATTTTTGTTGTTTCATTGTTGTTAAGTTAGGTTCTTTTGTTTTTAATTGTCACGACAATAGTTCTTATACGTGGGGTCATTTTCAATAAACAGTAGCTCCCAAACAGTTCAACTTAGATATGTGATTTTGGTATCATTTTGTAGCCGATAAAATAGGTTTAAAATATTATTTATAAAAAATATGTTAATAGGCGAGTTTTTTTAACTTGAAATAACTGACAAAAAGGAGTTATAATTAAATATTTACGATAAAAAATTAAAATATTTGTAAAAAAAATAGCTTCGACTCGATTTGTGATATCTTTTGCATTGGCCAGTATACTGGGTTCTATTCACAGAGTACCTTTGTATAAACTGAAACTATATAACTGGTTCTATTTCGGTACACACCCCATTTGACAGTTGTCACCAGTGATGCCAAGTTAGGCGATTTTTTGCCTTTTAGGCTATCTTGAAAGGTGTCGGGGCAACTAAAAATTGCGATTAGCGACTGGTTGCAATTTAGGCTATTTCGGAAAAAATGAGGGAGATTTTTACGTATGGTAAATTAATCTGTCTTTAAATATGTCTCATATGAAATAAAAATGCGTGTAATGAGACGTATGTTTTGTCACAGAGAAATATCAAAGAAAACTAAACTTAAAGGTATTTAAAAATATACTTTAATAATAGTAACATATAGACAATGACAAATAGATATATTTTACATTGTTTGTCCCGCCACCGCCACCACGCCGGGTATTCCCTTCCCCTTCCCTGTCTTCTGCTATTCGACTGCTTGTTAATTTTTTATATTTTATAGATTGCGCAACAAGGTGCACATGCTATAACATACCCGAGATTTCTTAGATGTCAGAAAAGTGTATCGCATCAATTTTAACACTTACATATTAAGATATTATTAAACTGCACAATTTCCATAATATATATCCTAAATATCAAAAACTTAACGCTTAATCTCATTCCTCCGCCTCTGTTACTGTTCCCTCTACTCATAATTGGACAATGACAATTAAATTTTGGCCGTGGAAGGAAAACATTGGGTCACCACTGTGGCGGGGTATGGAAGGAAAGGGGGAACCTTCTCCTCTCCTTCTGGTCGTTTATTATTTTGGAGCTGTTGGTGGTAGTTTCGTACTTTGATTTATATAGGCTTCGGTGCATTTTGGCTTGTGGCGCGACGATAGCACCGCCACGAAGTTATGTTCTTCTACCTCATTGATCTCTTTAAATGTAAGTAAGATATTTCGTTAAAATTTGTGAACCGTTAATATTAATAAGCAGACAAATTACTTATTTTTTTTATTTGACCATTTCTTCCACATTTACAAGAAACTTCATTATTTTATCCTGTTACAATTAAAAATAAGGTTGATTAAGGTAGTTCTACGTTTAAAAATAGACTTTATAGGCTACGTACCTGACATTAGAGTAGGTGATTTTGGGCTACTTTGCATAAAAAAATCAGGCGAATTTAGGCTACTTAGCGTCAAATTTTTGGCGACTCGGCCAGTCTAGACTTGGTAACACTGGTTGTTACCTTGTTAACAATATGGAGCATGAAGGTTAGAGAACAGGAGAACGATTGCCGTAGAAAATAGTACCTACCTATACTTTATTATATACTTTAGTACCTTCATGATATGGAGTGTAGAACTAAGGAGTACCAACTCCCATAGTAGAATAGTTGAATCAGTGTCCATCTATAAGAAGTAAATAACAGCTCAAAAACTTTCCACAACAGCGCTGGAGTGCTGCTAAGCTGCTCAGTAGCTCTAAAATCTAAAATAATTTTATTTAGTAAATATAACCTCGAAAAGTCGTCTATCTAACTAATATTTTTCGGCACGTTCTTTAAAACTTAACCCGTAGCTATAGTGGCGCCACCCTCATTTAACGGTTTTCTATGGACACTTTTTGATACACAGTCTGTATTCCTTACTTCTCGTAGACAGAGAAACCTATAGACTAATGATCGGCGTGGCCTCGAGTGAGAAAGGACGATAACGAATTTTTAGGTTATACAATAATATTTATGACTTTTAAATACATTTAGATAAAAATTTTAATTGTTCTAAGAACTGAACTGAACAAGATTCACCAATCTTAAGCTCACAAAACACTTTTTTCTCACTTAAACCAACTTGTAAACTCCTTAAATCGCTACGCTGTTAAAGTTGTTTAGCAAACTGTAGGTTTGCTACAAAAAAACCGGCACGGAGAAAGGGACAATCATACCGCTCTATCTCATTTCTATGGAAGACGTATGCATAAATCTATCTTTTTCGTGTGCGAATGCGAAAGAAGGCGTCAATTTGTCTATAGGTTTCTCTGTCTACGTAACTTCTACACTCCATAGTTTACCAGTCGTAGACTACTATATACGGAGTGTAGAGGTAAGGAGTACAAACTCTGTATAAAAAAGTGTCCGTAGGAAATCGTTAAATAAGGGAGGCGCCACTGTAGCTACGGTCTGAATTTTAAAGAACTTTATATAATATACTATAATTCTCTTTACAATAATTGTTTTATTGCTTTCAAAATGTGTATTTTCAAAATCACTCTCAACATATTTTACGACGATTTGACATACCCCGTAGTTACTACAACGCTGTAATGTAGAGTTTTTGAATTGTTATTTACTACTTACAGATGGACACTTTTTCAACTTTTCTCCTATGGGAGTTGGTACTCCTTACTTCTACACTCCATACTAGTATATAATCTGTGTTTACCACTGTCTATCTGTCCATAGAGATTGGGCTCAGAAGGGATAGAACTCAGAGCCACAAAGCCAGCTAATTAAAAAATCTGTCCATAGAGGTGCTAGACAGAGAAACCTAGGGTATGTTCCGAAATACAACGCAGTGTACTGTCCAATGCAAATGACGTCATGAATCGACGCTATACTGGTGATTCGTTCCAAAACATTGGACAGTATATGACGTCATACTTTTGCGCCATTTGGAAAAGTGTTGGCGATTATTTTGTCATTTTGTGCTCCAAAAATCATTATATCCACCTAATGGATATACCATCAATTATTCTATAATTTTTTTAATTTGAATAAATAGAAACAAATTCTGGCATGCTTCATTCGGCAAACACACAATTAAAAATTGTTATATGGCCGGATATCCGACACAATATGGCGGCGGCACGCTAGTACACAGTGTCAAATGATGACGTCATTTGCACTGGACAGTACACAGCGTTGTATTTCGGAACATACCCCTACTGTCAGACTGTCACCCATGAAAAGTAAGAAGTTCTCCATGATAAACTTATAAATATTTTTCTATATTACATTCCTTACATACATTTTCATTGTATTGTTTTTATATATGTACCTGGAAAGTTTAAATTTTAGGTTATCGAGCTGTGTTTAAGTGATATCAATACTAGTATAATTTATCAAATAAGCCCATGTCACATTCAATAAGATGGCCTGTGAAAATAATCTTTCAAAACCAGGTTCAGCAGCTTTACATAATATGGCTTTATTAAAGAAAGAAAGTTCAGTTTTCAAAGTTCCTAAAGTGCCCAAAAAGAAACTAATAAAGAGAACAGAAATTCTAGACGAAGAAGACTATGTTGAGGTAAATTTTCTACTCAAGCTGTGAATATTGAGGTGTTTTTATTACTCATTGTACCTACTTATTGTGTTTGTGAGAGTTATCTAAAATCTAATATATTGTCTTATGATGTTAAATATTTTTTTAAGTATACCATGTTTTTTATCCAGGGCATTGCGAAGATAATTCAAAGAGACTTTTTTCCCGATTTGGAAAAGTTGAAAGCTCAGAATGATTATTTGGAAGCATCTGAAAACAAAGATTATGCACGACTTCAAGAAATCACTAGAAAATATAGTGGTAATAGGCCACCAACAGAACCCTGTAAGTATGATCCTACCAAAATCAAATGTGAAAAGGGGACCAAAATTAATACAAATTATGTTGTGGGTTGCACACTTGGCCAATAGGCATATCATATTATAGGATAAATAGATATTTAAAGTATTTTTTGAACTCAATACCTTTTTTTACCAAACACATCAAAACCAAATAATAATAATTATTAGTTTTAAAACTTTTTTTTATAGGATTGGATGACAAACAAGCACACAGTCCACCTGATGGTTAAGTGGTTGCTGCGGCCCATAGACATCTACATTTATCCTTGATTACAAATCAAAATGCAAATGCATTGTTATCCGTGAGGACTTAGGTGGAATGCCTCATTTCCAGTAAAAAGGGTCTCCGGTTCTCTACACTCACCATACGAAACACAGCAGCATTAACCCTTAAGTTCCTGCCCAAGGTCACCGTGACTTCGCCGAATATTTGAATTTGATTTTTTCCGTTAAATGGCTACGCGCATTGGCGTGCGTTTATGTACCTTTTCTACTTGTCGATTAGTGTCGCGCATGCGCTCAGCGAGGCTACACGTGTCCGCGTTTAGTTTGGGTGAGTAAAAAAATCTCGTGAGCGGTCATGGTGACTGCGCTTAGGAAGTTACGTGATTATTTTGTATTACGTGTATTTGTTTTGTTTTAGTGTCAACATGAATAAAAACGACGAAAATATAACAAAATGGTTGGAAGAAGAGATGTCAGATGAAAAGGAGACCCGTGATGAAGATTGCAGCGATGTGGACTCTGTTTGTTCTGACAATCCCGTGCCTACAGAAGACTGTGAGTCTGATGACTGCTTAGGTATTTCATCTTCAGAGGAAATCGACGAAGATCATTCTACTGGTGAGAATAGATTTGTGTCCTCACAGCACTAGCTTCACAGCTAGCGTAGATGAAAATACCAAGAAGCCAGAAGTTATTATAAATTATACCCAGACTAAAATTGGCGTCGATTTATTTTATCAAAGGTGCTCAAATTATTCAACATCCCGACAAAAGCAAAGATGGCCCTTGGTAATTTTTTATCGGCTGCTGGATATATCTGCTTCAAATGCTTACATCATAAGTTCACACAATCGAACACAGAGAACCGGAAGCAGATTCAAATTTATGAAACAGCTAGCACAAGAGCTGACGACACCACACATGTGACGGTGAGAGGGTTATGAAAACACTCCTTGGGACATAAAATGTTCAATATGCCGCATTTTGAAAATTGAAGATGAAATGGCCAGCTGTTCAGATGCAGATAAACTAGAAAAACTTAAAACATGTTCAACTTGCGATCCCAAGAAAAGATGCGAAACATTTCACCTATGTTTTATGTGTAAAAAACCCGTCTGTTTGGAGTGCAACAAAAAATGTGCCAAAATTGACATGAAAATTGTGAACTTTACCCTCTGCAATTTTTATCAAATGTTCATAATTTTTATATTTTTACAACTTTGTTTTGTTCAAATGTTTATAGATATTAAGAAAAAACTGCAAATTGCTCTAATTTTAAGTTCCTATTTTGATTGATCTCATTATTTGAAGATGATTGTTAATTTTGAGAGAAATATGACTGCATTTATGTTTTTGTCATTTCATAGAAAAAAATGTTGTGTTATGTTTTTTTCTTTTCAATATCATTATTATAATCTTAAAGTGCGTTTCATTTATTATTTATTACATTATTGACTCATATTACATATAAAACATGGTTTTAATGTAGGAGTCACTGTGACCACGGGCAGCAATGGGCAGGTACTTGCGTTACAAATATAGGTGGCAGGAACTTGAGGGTTAAGCTACTATTTGACGCGTCAAATATAATAGTACTTCTTTGAATAACCCTTATGCCACATTTTAAGTTTCTCAATAACTGAGAATTGACCTAGGTTTTTGACGAGTGAGTCAGTGAGTGATTGGCTCAAGCACTATAATAGGCTCATTCACAAAGTTTGGATGGAGTGACAACCTGGTGAGATACATATGCAGGAAGTCGATGGATGCAGGAGGCTCAGGATCGTATTTGTGACATTCTTTGGGGAAGGCCAATGAAAGTCAGCAGTGTACTTGTGAAGGGCTGGTGAATGATGATGATGAAACTAAATGTTGGCTCAAGTTTATCTCAATAGATAATTTCAAATTTTCAGTCCCAATCATATGTATATATTTTTTTGTATAGAGGTAATCCAGTAATCCTATTAATTGAGACCCTTTCCAACAGATAATTCCCCAGCTACATTTGATACTCCCGGTGTGGAAAGACCTTTCTCTCCATCAGCACCAATGACTCAACCCAGGCAGCTCGATGTAGAGCCTGTTAAAGATAAGACGAAAGACATTACAGATAACCATACATTAGGTAGATATACGTTTGTATTATTTATAGATAAATTTAATAGAATAACATATGAAATTTTTTGCTTCAGTTTTTCTTCTTGCTTTATGTATTTATTGATTAGTGTTAAAACAACTGTCCATCATAACGTACAAGGGAAAACCTGCAAATGAAATTTATGCTAGCCAGTGCATTATTGGAAGGACCTGTTTTCAGCAGTGGATTAAAAATACTGTTTTTAATGATGATGATCTTAATTTTGATAACCTCACATTTAGGAATGTTGTTGTTATTATATTATAAGTTATTAATTATATTATAAATATATTATAAAACAGCAAGAGTTTTTTTTGCAAAAACTTTAGAAATAACATTTTATATTATTTTATACACTATTCGCCCCTCCGGGAGACAGAATGTGACGGGTGGCGAACCTGGTTGCCGGTTTTCCTCCCGGAGATTATTCGCACCCCTGTTTTGTGTTAAAGGGGCGCCGGGAACTTGGGGCCATTTCTTTTTTCAGGTGCCTCATTGTGCGAAACTATGGGGTGATATATTTTACGCCACTACCACACAGCGAGTGGCCAAGTCTGTACTTTTGGCTTGTCAGCTTGTCGCTCATTTCACCAGCCGGGGGACATGTGTAGGGTGGGCCTAGGATTAGGTGTTCTAAGCCTACGGACGAAAGCAACTTATCCCCCTTTATTGATGATTGATTGATGATTATCGGTAGTTTGGTCATGTGGAAAGAGTGACAAAGCAAATTTATGTTGCAAAAGTGAATAGCAGAGTCGGAAAGGGACATCCTAGGAGAAAGTTTATTGACCAAATTGGCGATATATTGAAAATGGGCCAAATTAGGAGTACCCTTAACCGATGAGCATGTATGCGTAGGTGTATGGATGTGAAGGAGGCGAGACAGGTGTGTCAGAATCATGCCAAATGGAAGTCTATAGTCTCTGCCTACCCTTCTGGGTGATAGGCGTTAGTGTTTATGTATTATGTATGTATTTTATACTATCTATTCAGCATGCAAATTAAGTACTTACTTTCATTACTCCATAGGCTTAATATTTTTAGAGCCGATTTTTCAATTTTCAGTTTTTCAATTCAATTCATTTCAATTTCATTTTATTCATAGTTTAAAATACAACATGAACAAATTAAAAATTACAGTAGTATGAATAAATTAGTTCAAACATTTTACTTTTAAGTTTAGTCAGTTTATTTATTTGATTGGAAAATTGCCTCTAAATTTTTTTAATAATAATAATTAATTTATTTAAAACTTTAACTTGTTACATTACAAAAATACTAGTGAGGGTGACGTTCTGTTCTCCTTGCTACACTAAGAAATAGCCTGTATTAAGGAGATTCAGTCCCTTAAATTAGCTAATTATACAAAAAAATGGTTTGTTACTTTTTTTACAATTTTTGCAACTTTTAAGATATGAGTATAACATTAAAACTTGTTATGACAAATCTATATGGAATACATTCCAATAACTTTCATATCACACAATATATACTTTTACATAATTTATATGGTTATTTCTTACAAAATTGAAATATACAAAATAACTGGTTCGAATCAATGTGCATAATCATTGGAAAAGATGTGAGCTATTACTAAATGTAATTCTTTCACCATGTTAAGGTGTGACCTAACCTTAAAACACAAAAAGATCACACCCAAAATCTAAAACTATTGATTATTTTGTATACAGTAATAGTGAAAATGAGCAGACACTCCATCTGATGGTACATAGTACAGTGGACTATAGACAATTATCGTATACATCTATCCTAGATTTAGATTAAAAATGCAGATACATTATCATTTGTGAGGACTTGGTGGGCAACATAGCATTGTTGCCAGTACAATGGGTTTCTGCATTAATCATTTAGCATTAAGTATATGAAACACAGCATTGTAATACTGTTATTTTACTTTATAGTATTTTTAAACAGTGTAACACTTTCCGTTTGTTCTCCAGTATAACCCTGGAGGTGGAGGATGTCTCAGATGTGACCTCGAGACATCATGATAGCGCTATGGGGTGCTGGGGGCATCAAATACTGGCCCCCATACATTCTTCCAAATAAAGCAAATAGCGAGCAAGGGCCCGTTTGCATTTCACATGGAGATCCCTCTTATTCCCGCTAAGGGTGACCACTGTGGAGTTTAGTCCCACATAACCTTTTCGCTGCCCTCGCAAACAAAGATACCCATGAGAACTTCCCCACAGTAAAAAAAATTGTGATGATACAGGTGCATGCCACCTGGCTCGACCGTGTTAATGTTTTAGGTTAATTAGGGATGAAATAAAAAAAAGGATATTTGATAGATAAAGATCAAGAATTAGTCATTAATTGAACTTAACACTTTAACTTGATTTAACTGAATAATTTAACCAGCTTAATAAAGAAAAATAAATGAGTGAGAATTGATACAAAGTATGCTTTGTTATTATAATTTTCCTATATGTTTAATTCCAATTACAGATTCATTCCTTGCAAAGCACACAAGTGAAGACAATGCTAGTTACGAACGTGTCATTGCGCTTGAAGATAAGAAACGGGCTACAAAGCTAGCGTCACAGCTTGAGGCTGAGATCAGTGCCGCAGCTCGCGCTGATTCAGCCCTAGCTTTGCCGTCCATAGAAGAACAAGCTGATCAGAGGGATAGGCCTCATGAGGTATGTCGAATTCAACAGTTTCATGGCATTAGTTATACCGTTATTATATAATAAAAAGTTTTACGTCCTGGGTTCAAACAGTCTTCGTTGCATAAACCAGTCTTCGAATTACTTGGTGCGATTTTTTTTTAATTTTAAAAGAATATTAACAATGCTATAAACATTACTAATATTCCCCTTAACCACACGTGGTAAGCTTAAATTGTTTGTTACGAGAGGTTCACGCCAGTAGTCGAATGGCGGATTCGAACTCACGATCTTTTGAATTCGCGGTCCGCGCCCTGCCATTAGGCTACTGTCGCTTCTAAATCTTTGAAAATACAGTCGAGAATGCAATGATTCAACTATCTATCTCCCTCGTCCCGTTTTCGTCATTAATTTAACTCAAAATGTTTGTTTTTATTTTTTGTAAAATATCAATGGCATAGGCTTCTACTCCATTCCAATGTTAAACTCAATTTTTTTCCAGACAGTAAAAAAGGTCATCCAGTATATACAGGTATACTTATAGGGATTTTTTTGTTTATAGTTAGACACCTGGAAGTATAGAGCGAAGAACTACATAATGTACGTGCCTTCTGGTGCGGAGTCTCAAAAGCCGCCGCCGAAGCCCGAACTGCAACATCAGAATACGAGACTTCGCGCTCCTCCCTTCGACCACGTGAAAAATAAGGAGACGATCAGTGCTATTGCTAAAACCCAGGTAAGTTAGGATAAAGCACAGATTGGTACATGAAGGTTAGAGAACAGGAGAACGATCGCCGTAGAAAATAGTGTCCCAGAAATATGGACACCGTCAGTGAGGCACTGCGATCACTAAGTTCAGTCAATAAAAGTCTTTTTCAGTCTATTTTTCCGATCAGGTGCTAAACCACTTGCACATCCACGCACAATAAAATATTTCTCCATTTTTTAATGTTTCTTTTTGTCAAAAATTACAAAATTACGGAGCATGAAAATTTTCTCATTAAAAATGAAATGAAAATTTGTACATTATTCAACTAACTTCATCCACTTGTACTCATAAACGGCTAACTTCGCAGTCACTACTCACGGAAGTCAGCGCCGCTATGTATTCTACAATTTTCAAGGACAGGCGGGCTATGCTTTAGTACGTAGTGATCGTTCTCCTGTTCTCTAACCTTCATGGATTGGTAATAGGCTGATGCTACCATGTAGGGTGAGACTTGACGAGCGACAGTAGTGGGAAAACCGCGCAGGTACAATCGCATGCAAAATAATATTTTTTTTAAAATAATTATTAGAATCAGGTGTTACTTTGCTGAAATCCATTATATTAAAATTTGTAAAAATTACCTCGCCTATATCCACCCATAAAATAAAATGATGTGTTTTACTTAGTTTAAAGAGCACCTCCCACAGTAGTGCAACATTACCATTATTATTTTTAAAAATCTCCAACTGTTCCAGCACACACAGCCATTTCTTCAAGTATGTAAGACCTTAAAGGAGTGGTCGTTGGCTAGATTGTGTCCGGTGTCCAAGAGATGTTCAGCAGAATGGGATATATCGGGATTGCAATTTTTGTACGTGGCTAAATGCTCTTTATAATGTGTCCCGAAGTTGCGACCAGTCTGACCCATGTATACGGCGTGGCATTCGTCACAAGTTTTTACATACCCGACTTTTGACAAATATTAAGAGATTTTTTTGTGTTGAACGCCACGTTAACACCGTTTTGTCGTAGATTGTCAGCAATTTTTTCGTAAATTTGGAAAACATGTCGTTGCATGTTTTCCGAATTTATCCACAGCCAACTCATACGGACACGGTCATCCCCGCGCTATCGTGTCATCCATGGCACATGTGCGGAATGACAGTTGGCGTTTTATGCCTGTCTACCCATTGTGTGGTGAAAAAATTGTGGCAGGTGACTTGAATAACTAAATATATTAAAGATAAATTAGATTCAAAATGTAACCCATATGAAAATAAGATTTATAAATTACACAAATACATATGAATACAAACAAATACATAAAAATATACTTACAACATATACATACATAAATACACACACACACACACACACACACGCACACGCACACGCACACGCACACGCACACGCACACGCACACGCACACGCACACGCACACACGCACACGCACACACACACACACACACACACACACACACACACATACACATATATATATATATATATATATACAGGGTTACAAGAAAAATCGTGCTAGATCCGTTAAGGGCGTGGAGTACCCATCATTTCTGACTTATTTCACTATGAAACACCCTACCCTAAACTTAACCCTTTTCGAGATATTCGACTTTTAATTTTTTTATTGAAAATTGCCGAATTTTAGGCTACTACATTTATTTTTGTTTATTTTGTGTATCTTATTATTATTATTATTGCATTTTTACATGTGTAATTAGATGTTTTAGGACGTCAATCATTAAAATAGTGCATAAGTTAATTGAATAGACCGTAGTAGACAAGTGAAAGTAAAGAAATAAAAAATATATTAGAAAGTTTATTTTTCTCGAAGGGATTTCTAAAAAAATTATTATGGCAATTGTTCGGCAGATGTTTTTTTAAATATCTACGTTTCATCAGCTATCTAACGAGGTATAATACTCTAAGGTTTTATTCAAATGCATTGAAAAAACTTTAGTTTCATAGGCGACAGTGAAGAAGAAAATTTATACTTAGCCGAAAAAAGTAAAATAAAACAATAGTGAAATGTCATTTATTAAAGGTTTTCACAAAACTTTTTCTTATTCTACAGTTCATGTTCAACATGGCCGCCTCTATTTCTGATGCATTGTCGCATCCTTCTACGGAGACCAGTCTTCACTACTCCAGTGGTCAACATGGTCCTAATTTTATTAGCTGCATCCACAATCCTTTCTCTTAAGTCTTCCACAGACGAAACTGGATTCGGCTTGCTGTATACAAGACTTTTCATGCATCCCCACACATGAAAATCCATGGGGGTTAGGTCTGGACTTCTTGCTGGCCATGGCAACGGCCCACCTCGTCCTATCCATTTGTTTGGATAATTTGTGTCCAGCCAGTCCCTGACACTTCTCCTGAAATGGGCAGGGCAGCCATCGTGTTGAAACCACATGTCTCTGATCAGATTGAGTGGCAGATCATCCAGCAAATCACTCAAGTCTGCTCTCAGGAAATTTTCGTAGCTTTCCGCATTTAGATTATCCGGGAGAAAGTAAGGTCCAATCAAATGATTGGAGATAATGCCCATCCACACATTCACGCTGAATCTTCGTTGGGACCCCTTCACTCTTTTCTTATTGGGATTCCTTAGTACTTTTGGGGCCCAGTAATGGGCGTTGTGATAGTTAGTTATGCCATCTTTATCAAATTTGGACTCATCCGTCCACAAGATATTTCTTAGAAAATCTGGGTCTTCTACGTCAGCATTTAGCATAAACCTGCAAAAGTCCAATCTTCTCGCGGGGTCTCCTTCTTCAATAACGTGTACCGGCGTGTAATGGTACGGGTATAGGCCAGCAGTATTCACCGTAAACCACACTCTCCATTGCGAAAGTCCCAGATCACGGGCAACAATATTAGTGGAAGTAGTCGGATCCGCTCGAAAGCGTTGCACTATCTCATTGTCCTGTTCTTCGTCGTCAATTCGTGGTCTTCCCATGTCTGTATTTCGTCTCAAAACAGAGCCAGTTTCTCGAAGTCTTCGATAAACTCTGTCAAAAACCGCCACATCCGGCACTTGACGACCGGGGTAGCGAGTTATGTATTCTTTGCGAGCTTGCGCAGACACACAATCGCAGTATCCGTAACAAATAAGCATATCAGCATATTCCTCAGATGTGTAGGACGTCATCTTCAACACTTCCGTATCACAGGTACAAATCAGAGTCTGGTTAACAAGCACAGTAGTCACAAATCAGAAGAAATAGTCTAGAATCGCAGCCAAGTCGAGAAAAAGAGCAAAACGATATCGCATCTACTATGTACGAAGCACAAAAGCAGACTGACAACCAAACAATACCCCCTGTTGTATTCCCAGCCCTAACCGGTCTCTACACATTTTTTCTTTCATTCGCACCTACATAAATCGTCACTTGTCTCGCTCGCTTGGTGCGTCTTAACTTGAAGGACAATAGGCGCGGGACCGGTAGAACTGCTACCTGGATCGTCCCAACTACTTTTTTCGATTTTCCTTAGAGTATTATACCTCGTTAGATAGCTGATGAAACGTAGATATTTAAAAAAACATCTGCCGAACAATTGCCATAATAATTTTTTTAGAAATCCCTTCGAGAAAAATAAACTTTCTAATATATTTTTTATTTCTTTACTTTCACTTGTCTACTACGGTCTATTCAATTAACTTATGCACTATTTTAATGATTGACGTCCTAAAGCATCTAATTACACATGTAAAAATGTAATAATAATAATAATAAGATACACAAAATAAACAAAAATAAATGTAGTAGCCTAAAAATCGGCAATTTTTAATAAAAAAATTAAAAGTCGAATATCTCGAAAAGGGTTAAGTTTAGGGTAGGTTGTTTCATAGTAAAATAAGTCAGAAATGATGGGTACTCCACGCCCTTAACGGATCTAGCACGATTTTTCTTGTAACCCGTATATATATATATATGGAGCCGTGGTAGCTCAGATGGTTAGCGCTCGCTGTAAATTTCACAATACGCTAGCAAACCGGGTTCGATCCCCGCCGGCACCAATGAAATTGTTAATTTCAATTTTAAATGCTGATTTGCCACGTGCTCGGCGGTGAAGGAAAACATCGTAAGGAAACCTGCATGTCTGAGAAATAAGAAAAAAAAATATTTCGAAGACATGTGAAGTTCGCCAACACGCATTGGGGCAGCGCGGCGGACACTTCCTTGCCCTAAAACCCTCTCAGAAATGAGGGGAGGCCTGTGCCCAGCAGTGGGACGTATATAGGCTGTAACTTTAACTTTTAACTCTATATATATATACCTCAAGGTAGCATCCTTTCTCCTCCCGTTTTTATTAACTGTATCACTAAGGTGATATCTTCAAACTTCCTTCTCTATGCAGACTATTTGCAACTGTGTCGTCATTTTTAGCTGAATTTTAGAAGAATTTTGGTCTTCGGTACTCTACACTCACCAAACGAAACCCAGCAGTGTTAAGCTGCTATTTGAAGCTGGTATTCTGTTAGAGCGTGGTCTTTCCCCGGTCGAGCCAACCCATTCATGTTACAATTATACCTGTAATATAGCTGCAGCATGGCTCTACCATATAAAAATATTCTCTTCTCCAAACAATTACTTTCCCGATTCTTGATTATGCTGATGTCTGTTATTTGGATATGACTGAGGAGCAATTAAACAAAATTGAGTGCCTGCAAAACTTATGTGACCACATCTCTTCCTATCACAAACAGCTCAAGTGGCTCCCAATCCGACTTCGAGGGAATACCCGAATTCTCTGCCTTCTCTTTGAAATATTATACAATCCAACATCACCGCCGCAACATCTATGTGATCGATTCTACTTTGTTAATCCCCCGAAGCAATTTGCAGATCACATTTAAAAACCCTTCTAAATTTACCTTCCTCCAGAAATATGTTGTATTCTCACTCTTTATGTATTTAGTTATATGTGTGTGTATGTACGTATATGTATTTACTATATTTATTTTATATTGTGTATATTAATTTTATAATATTGTTATGAGAGTGTATACTAAATCTACGTCACTTTGAATCTGTCCGGTATCAGGCCTGCTGGAAGAAATTTCTATAAGAAATAAGCCTATGTACAAAATCCTTTTATTCTTTATTGATTGTGACATTATTATTTGTATATAAATTTTTAAATAAATAAAAAAGTTCACGCCTCGAACCCTAGGACGCGAGTGTGACGGGCAAGATTGGAGTGGACGGTGTCAGCATTTCATCGGAGAAGCCGCCGTCGGAGTACTCGTACGTGGCGACGCCCTCGCCGCGGCCGGGCGCCGGGCCCGACCAGTCGCCGCTCATGACCTGGGGCGAGATTGAAGGCACGCCTTTCCGACTCGACGGTGGCGATACACCATTGCCCGCGTAAGTTTCCTTTTCTTTTTAAAAACATTACCTCCACCCTAAGATTTTCTCATGTATCATGGGGGGCAGTTTACATACATAAATTTCACAAGCACTAACATCTAGTCAATACAAATACGTGCCTCTGCGGGATTCGAACTCGTGAGCCTTAGCGCTGTAATTAGTTGAAAAGCCCCTGTGCCACGGAGCTGTCATAGTTGCTTTCTATTTCGTTGGGAAACATTCATAGGCGAGCGTTGGTGGTAGTAAAACCGACTCGTGTGCAGTGACGGCAAACGTCATAACCCTCTCTTATGCCGTCATACTCCCTGTACTCCCCCTGTACTCCAACTTGTGCGTGCGCGTATATTATATTTTACTAAAGTATACTTTAAGCAGCAGCTTCTGCTGGCCGTATGAGGACGCTCAAGGTCACTCAGCGAGCTATGGAGAGAGCTATGCTCGGAGTTTCTCTGCGTGATAGACTCAGAAATGAGGATATCTGCAGTAAAACCATAGAGACCGACATAGCCCAACAGATTAGTAAGCTGAAGTGGCAATGGGCTGGCCATATAGCTCGAAGAACCGATAACCGATGGGGAAGAAAGGTTCTCTAGTGGCAGCCTCGTGCCGGTAGGCGTAGTGTAGGGCGACCCCCCACTAGATGGAGTGACGACCTGGTAAGTCATGCAGGAAGTCGATGGATGCAGGTGGCTCAGGACCGTGCTTTGTGGCATTACTTCGGGGAGGCCTATGTTTTGCAGTGGACTTGTGAAGGGCTTTAATGATGATGATACTTGAAGCGTTCACTGCTTGTATACATTTAGTGTTTTTTAAATATTATTTTTTATTTATTTTACTCCATATTTCTTTATTTATTTCTATCAATCATAAATTCTTCTATTAACTATGATGTTTCACATCTGTCGGGCGTCCAGTGACTGCAAACTTTTTTTTCGTCTTCGCTTGCGATTCTGCCCTTTTATATAACAAAATATGGTTATAATTCAACTGCGCTTTTTTATACTTATAATGTCCTCCTGGATGATTTGGACGATGGAAGGATAGAGGATAGACTTTTTCTGACCTCAGTTACTTAGCAAGGGGTGGGGCAGGGGACAGGGGGTGGCTTTTTTATAGGATAAGGGTGACAAACGAACACACAGTCCACCTGATGGTAAGTGGTTACAGCGGCCCATAGATATCTACATATATGCTCGATTAAGAATCAAAATGCAGATGCGTTGTCACCCGTGAGGACTAAGATGGATTGCCTCGTTTCCGGTAAAAAGGGTCTCCGGTTCTCTACACTCACCGTTCGAAACACAGCAGCATTAAGCTGTTATTTTACGCTGATATTCTATGAGAGCGTGGTCCTTTCCCGGTCGAGCCGACCCATTCGTGCTACAACTATGCCAGTAATATAGCTGCAGCATGGCTCTACTACATATAAAATAGCACAGCCCCGGGCATAGCCCTGGGTCGCAGATTTTAAGGAATTAAAGAAAAACTGTCTGCTCCTCACATTAACTTTAAAACGCTGCAATTATGTTGCTTTATATAACTTAAGTGACATATGTACTTACAGTATACCTGATGTTAACTGGCTACTGCAATTCATAGCCACCGGCAACAAACTTTAAACAAAGTAGGGCACAGATACGTTGTCACCTTTGAGGGCTGAGCTGGAACACCTCACAGCCTGTAATTATAATGGTTCACTTACCCTTCTGACCGCAATATGGAATCTATGTAATACTCCGTACAAAGTGACTGACATACGTTGCTAACGGATTAAGAGAGGCAGATGTTATGACAGCCCTTGTGGACAAAGAAGGAATGCCTCGTTACAATCACAAAGGGTCTCTGGTTCTCACGCGCACTATACGTAACACAGCAGTATTAAACTGTTATTTTACAATTATAACGTATAAAAGTGGTACCTAGCCTGAAAGACTCCTAGACAATATCGGGTTCCTGTCACCTAGTTTAATTGAACCAACTTTAATTGAATATATCACCTTTTGTCCTCTTATACCTTATTTGGTGTGTGCAGTGTGGGCGCAGGTGCCGCCTATCGTATGTTGGAGGGCGGCGCTCGGGAACGAATCGCTTTGCAGCTGGCAGAACAAGTGGCGCGTCGCAGAAGACCAACTACGCCTAGAGCTTCGCCGCGAACACCGAGGTACGGAACGCCGTTATTATTATTCGTCATCATCATCATAATCATTACAGCCTATCAAAATCGATTGCTGAACATCCCTCCCCCATGGATTGCCTAAAGTAAAGTAAAGTAAAGTTACAGCCTATATACGTCCCACTGCTAGGCACAGGCCTCCCCTCATTTCCGAGAGGGTTTTAGGGCAAGGAAGTGTGCGCCACGCTGCCCCAATGTGTAGTGGCGAACTTCACACGTCTACGAAATATTTTTTTCTTATTCCTCAGACATGCAGGTTTCCTCACGATGTTTTCCTTCACCGCCGAGCACGTGGTATATCAGTACTTAAAATTGCAACTAACAATTTCATTGGTGCCGGCGGGGATCGAACCCGGGTTACTCGCGTTCTGTTATATTTACAACGAGCGTTAATTATCTGAGCTACTACGGCTCTATGGATTGTCTAATGGGGGAATATTTGTCACCGCGGCTCCACATAATTGCCGTGAAGCTCCGTGAACGGGCGTGAACGTGAATGGTTTTCGCGGGATTCACGCGTGTTTCACGCCTGTTTCCCGATCAGAGTCGGTATTTTGTCCCGCGCCAAAGCGTTCACGCATCTTTCGCACGGCGTTCACGCGTACACATCCACAATCACGGCCCCGTGACATTTCGTTTCGGACTACAAAGGCGTACGGACGATGTATTTTAGTCATACACCATCTTCTTTTCTTCCAACGCTTTCTAATTAATTTCTTGTTTTGGATGTCTAAATAGTGATATGTTGCCATAGCAAATAAAATTATTACAGCAGCAGCTTCTACGTCCGTTTCGCGGCGGGTTTCACGAACGATTGTGAGCATGTCGTGAATGTGGAGGGCACGACTTGCGCCGTGAATTCATGGCGTGAATTCGCGCGTGAATTCACGGCGGTAATGTGGAGCCGCCATCATAGTTGCCACATTTGCCAAGGGCAGCAACCTCAGGTTTTATTTTTATTCAGCTTACATCAGAAAGATCATCACTATTGTTGCATCCCTTCACAATGTCACTGCTGAACATAGGCCTTCCCGGAGGAATGCCGCATAGCACGGTACTGAGCCACCGACTTAACCCATGAACTGTTAAAGAAATTCACACAACGTAAAATTATTATCACTAGTTATTTTTACGTAAATACATCAGTATAATCTAGAGCATCGCAATAATAAAAATGTATGGCTAAATACTTTAATTTAGAAATGCATATGAATGAACCCACTAGAGGAAATAATTGTATTGACCACGTTTTAAGTAATATTAAGCAAGCTACGGGCATGACAATGTCGCTTCATCTATCTCATCACAATACGGCCCGAATATTGTCATTCTCTGTCGAAAATCAACATACATTACAATACTGATTTTTACACAGGACTATCTTTCTCCGACATCTACAACGCGAAAAACATGAATGTAGCATTCGATCGATTCTATATTTTTTCGCACACTATAAATCTTGCTTTCCTAAATTAAAATTTAAAATTATCGATTAAAATTTAAAACCAAAGAATCTCCAAGGGCTTAAAATTTGCATAAAAAATATGTAACGGAAAGTGAATCCCCACAAGATTACATTACAGATAATAAAATTTGAAAGCAGTATAAAAACAAATGTAACAAAAATAGTTGAACTGTTTAATGATTCTTCCTTAATAATTGTTTGAAGGTATATGATATGAATGATGTATATGATATTGAAAAAAAAAAGAGACAGATATTATCAACGATCGATCATATATCAAAGTCAATTTTTCTTGAACCGGTGAATTCAACAGAAACTACTCGTATTATCCAATTATTAAAAAAATCATATTAAAAAACTCATGTGGGTATGACGAAATCTCAACACAAGTCATGAAATTTTATAGAAAAGTACTAGCCCTCCTTATTAATCTATCTTTTAAAACTGGATGCTTCCCTGAGGCCCTTTAATTCGCGATCGTGAAACCTATTTACAAAAAACAATAAATCTGACATCGGTAAATATCGGCCATGCAAAACGACTACTTGACTATTAACAAAATTCAAAATCATTACACCTGAGTATAATGGGTTCCAAAAAGGAAAATCAACTACAGTCCTTGCGGCGTAAGCTGAGCTTTGCATTTGTGTGAGTGCACACAGATAGTCAGTGGCGAAGCTAGAGCTCCAAGCTAGGGCAAGCCCAAGATATAAATTGATAAAAATATAGATTATTGTTTTTAGCAGTTTTATAAAAATACACCAATCTTGATCTGTCTCCACGCTTCAGTTTCATATTCAGTGCTGTCAAGGACGTGTTTAACAAAGCACACAGAAGGCATACCACTCCTAGATAAATTGTATTACATATGTTGTACCATTTCAAGATCAGGTAGAAAATATAAGGGTTGATTCCAACTATTATACTTTATTTCACTTTCTACAATACTATCTCGAGTCCAGGTAGGAAACAAACGGTAGATTCAAACTATTACCCTTTGGTTCACTTTACAATTTAAACTTATACAAAATTCAACTTCACTTCACGTCTTACTGCGACGATTCGCCTTGAGCTAATGCCACTCTCCATTTTACTAATCAACCTTTAGCACTTGTTAGCAAGGTGGGGCGGCGTCATTTCCGCCCCACTCTTTTACAGCAATCAAAACATTATCCTTCCGGTTACATTATATTACTCTATCCATTATCCGCAATCATTAATGTAAGTAACTAATAATTATTATAATATAAAGTCAAATCACTTATCGAGTAATTCCGTTATAAACAATAATATAGTGGTTATTAATCTAACAATAGCAATTATTAACCTAACAGCTCGGCCATCCTACTCAAAGCGAGTCCCATCGCTTCTACACTTAAAAAAAAACCCCGCAAGTATAAAAGAAAGTAACGAAATTACATATTACATTTAACATATCCTAAACTAGACTAAGCATGATAGATATAAATACAATATTAATCAAAATAATAAAATCAAAATTTAAAATTGACCTTCCGTCATAAAATCTATAATTGGTATTAAATGCACAGTTATCTTTTTTTATGTTTGTATAATATAACCAATGAATATCTAATTTTAACTATTCAGTGTCAACTGTATTATTATCAGTTGAATCAGACTCAAAATCTCTATTGAAATTCATCCACGGATGAATTTTGTCAATTGACACTATAGCTTCATATTTTCTACTGTTTTTACGGGTAAGCGGCGTATCTTCAACTAGAAATCTGTCATTTGGTAGCACTTTTACTATGCGATACGGGCCTTGAAATTTAATTACAAGTTTTTGTGATTTTCCGTCGTGTGGGACTTGCTTTTCTAAACGTATTAAGTCACCTTCATTGTATTTAGTTGCGGGCTTTCTACGTTCATTAAATCTTTTTGCATCTTCAATTTGTTGTGCTTTAATTTTTGTACTAGCATCTTGCCTAAGTTCGTCTAACTTTTCTAATGGAGTTCCATTTAATGTGTCATTGATAACAGAGCTTAGGATGCCTTCTGATTTACCGGTTATATTAAATCCAAAAAGTAACTCAGATGGGGACCTTTGTGTAGTTTTATGCTTAGTTGTATTTATACCGACTTGAATATCCTGTACATAATTGTCCCAAGATTTATCGTCTTTACCATGTCCAGATGCCGATAAAGCATCTAAAATGGTCCTATTAAAACGTTCTACTTGACCGTTAGCTCTTGGAGTAGCAACGGCATTTGTGATGTGTTTGATACCATAAGACATAATAAAATCCTGAAAAATTTTACTCGTGAAGCTAGTTCCCTTATCGGTGATCAGTCTCGTGGGTACGCCGAAGTAACTTATGTGGTTTTTAATAACTTGTATGCTTGTCACGGACTTTGTATTCTTAACAGGAGTAATGTTAATATATTTTGTAAAGCCATCAATCAAAACTAACAAATAGCTATTCCCTTTCTTACTTTTCACAAAGGGTCCTAAGTGATCTGCGTGGACTGTGTGGAAGGGAATACTGACCTTATTTATTGCATGTAACTCTCCTTCACGTTTTCCTCCCGGCGCTTTGTGATGTGCGCACTCGAGACAAGACGTCACATATTTTTTTACAAAGCGGCGCATTTTAGCGAACCAATAATGTTCTTGGATTCGTTTCAATGTTTTTTCAAAACCACAATGCCTGATGTCGTCGTGGTTCATTTTGAGTATTTGCCAACGTACTCCCTTAGGTACTACCCATCTTAGTGAATCGCCAACAATTCGATAGACGCGCTCATTTTTAAGTTTGTAGTTTTTAATTATGTCTACATATTGGTCTGCCTTGGAGTCCGTTAATATGTGCTTTATTTTCTTTATTTTGTCATCAGCAGATTGCACGGTAACTATCCAGTCCGAATGACTTTGCTGTATCGCCAACACATCCCATATTAGCCGGTCATCTGCAATACCCTCAGACGAACAGTCCACCGGGTTTCTACTAAGCGCATCTGCATGAGACATTCGGGCGCCTGGTCGATATTCAATCGTGCAGTCGTATTCTTGTAGCTGGATCCACCAGCGCGCAATACGAGCTACTAAATCTCGTTTAGTCAGAGTGGATCTAAGGGCGTTACAATCAGTTACAATTTTAAAGTGTATTCCTATAAGATAGACTCTAAAGCGATTCAATGACGCAACCACTGCTAAAGTTTCGAGTTCGAATGAGTGAAGTTGACGCTCGTGTGCATTTGTTTTCCTACTAAAATAAGATATGGGCTGTAATGTGTTCTTTGAATTTCGCTGCAGTAATATTCCTGCCACACCTTCCTTACTTGCGTCTGTGTGAAGTTCTGTTTCTGCACAAGGGTCATAAAGAGCTAGCAATGGGCGGTTGACTAGTATTTCCTTAATTTTTAAAAAGGACTCTTCTTGGCTTGGTCCCCATGTCCAGCAAGAGTCCTTCTTTAAAAGGCTAGTCAATGATGCCGTGATTGTAGCATAACCTTTGATAAAACGCCTAAAAAATCCAGATAACCCAAGGAACTGTCTTAA